ACTCTTGATTTAAGAGAAGATGAATAGAATGGCTATATGGGCATAATGGGTGGTCTGCAGAAAGTAGTTTAGCTGAAATATGCAGGTTAACTGTAGTTCTAATGTTTTTTTCTTTTCCATGTTAGGCATACATATCACGACACCTTACCTGTCATTGGAGATTTCTTATTCCATAGCAACCAATAAGCAAGCGTGAAACATGAGGACAAATCCCGCCATTCAAGCTGCCATCGACCTCACAGCAGGTGCAGCAGGTAATACTGGAGAGAACTCTCAGAAACTTTGAAAATAGAATCTGATACAAACAAGCTTGTGCTCTTAAAGTAAGTCTCCTCACAAGTGTAAAGACATTAATCTGATTTAGCAATCAGCAGTCATTTAGCAATGATGGTGATTTGTCATATTGGCACTGTTAATAATTGAAAATCTGTACAAGAGGCACATCTTCCACATTTGAAGAAAAATGTTGAGATGAAGGAGGGAACTAACTGACCTAGCCCAGTGTTGCAAACATCTGATAGGTTAATATCACTCCACTGAAACCAATGCCAACAAGTAAATATGTAACTTCTTTCAGACTAATGATTTTCTAAGAGTAGGTCTGAGTACATCTAATGTGTATTTTCATGCTCACATGAGTTTCAAAATGTCAGTCACAAGTAAAGTTTTGCAATAAAGGCAAACACCATGTTCAAGCAAAGTGATTGAGATAATGCTTCAGTCCTAGAAACTCTCTCTAATTGAAAGGGGCAGAAAGCTATCTAAAGGGTTATCTCTTTAATCAACATTCAGAAAGTCTCTTTGGAAGATGAGGAAACATTATGGTATTCTGAATAATGTAACATAAGGTCAGCAGTTCACTCAAGTTGTTCTTCCACTTAGCCACCAATGAAAATATCAGTTTCTCATATCACCTAAAATATGGTTGGTAAGGATGAAACGTAAGGAGAAATAAATTAACTTTAAGTTGTTCTACAAAGAGGATGGAAAATACATATCTATGTACAGTGCCTAACACTGCTGCTGGTGCTCTACTAACAACAAATTCATCACATTAGCCATCTAATCACATCTCTTGCATATTATAATACAGCTACTTCAGGGTATGTCTACACAGCAAAGAAAAAAACCCGGCTAGCCTTGAGCTCCAGCCTGAGCCCAGAAGTCTACACAGTAATTAAACAGCCCCACAGTCCAAGTCGGCTGGCATGGGCCCACCGTGGGCTGTTTAGGTGCTGTGCAGATACAGAGTCAGTATTCGAGGAATGTTCCCTGTATTTGTGCCATGGATCCAAGAGTATTAGCCATGACTCAAATGTTACAAGACACCTGTGATCCAGGGTCTAAATCCAGAGGTCAGTATGAAAGGTGATAGCATGTGGAGAGAAGAGGGGGTGCAGCTGCCATTATCCAGGGATAACACCTCTATAAGAAGGTTGCTGGAGTTTCTACCAGGCTACTGTCCCTTGACTCTGCCCAGGTATACTTGTTTTATATTGGCCTGTGGCTATTCGGTATGTGACAGTTTCCACACAAAGGCCCATTTTGGCTGAGAGGGAGCCTTCTATTTATTTCCCCTGTTATCTCATCCCCATCCTAGAGCAGCCTATTTCTGCTATTTCTTCTACCTTGCTTTTGGGTCCTTGTTGTAGCGATTCACAAGCAAGATCTGCTGCTATCCCAAACAATAGTACAGTGAAATCACTTGTTTTGTTTGTTTTTTTGGTCTGCTTCACTGATGCTCACAGGGTCGAAACAGCAGCAGCGCAAAAACTAACACCTCTAGTCAGCATCAGAGCAGTCAGTCTTCAGACTTGGGAAGATAACTTTGTGAATGAAAGCTAATACAGTGCCATCTTGGCTTTCATGAGGGCTAGGAAACCTAGTTTTCATTTAAAGAGATGTGCCAAAGCTGATGGCATTTCTCCCCCATCTCCCCTTCCTCTCCTCCTCCCCCCAAATTACATCCACTATTCAGGGAAATCTGCCTGTTTTCTGTCAGTAAACAGGTAAGCAGGTTTAAAGGTAGATTATAGTTCTTTGCTCAATTTCCTCTTTTGGTTGCAACTCAAATACTAACTTCAAACAGGATGAAGAAGCGAAAGCCTTTAAACTTCTCAATCACTTTGATACTTAAAATCCTTTATAAAGAGATTGCTCTTGCTTTGCTTATTTGATTAGCTTTATAATCCTCCTCCTTTGTTCTAATAGGCTGCTGTTAATCTTCCTTTCCTTCCTCATCTTCTAGCGTTTTTAAAGATCTCCTTTGTTTTCTCCCTCTTGTTGCAAGCTCACTATGTATGCCTCGCTCTTGTTTTATGACAGGTTTCAGAGTAGCAGCCGTGTTAGTCTGTATCTGTAAAAACGAACAGGAGTACTTGTGGCACCTTAGAGACTAACAAATTTATTAGAGCATAAGCTTTCGTGGGCTACAACCCACTTCTTCGGATGCATATAGAGTGAAACATATATTGAGGATATATATATATATACACACACACACACACACACATACAGAGAGCATGAACAGGTGGGAGTTGTCTTACCAACTCTGAGAGGCCAATTAAGTAAGACAACTCCCACCTATTCATGCTCTGTGTGTGTGTATATATGTGTGTGTATATATAAGTGTGTATATATATATATCCTCAATATATGTTTCACTCTATATGCATCCGAAGAAGTGGGTTGTAGCCCACGAAAGCTTATGCTCTAATAAATTTGTTAGTCTCTAAGGTGCCACAAGTACTCCTCTTGTTTTATGGTGGTTCCTGCTGTGCTCAGCTGGATCTCTGCCATTCAACAGAAGCTGACTTTACAGTGTACTAGGCTAGCAAACCAATTAACAGAAGATGTTGTAGGGATCCAATTATCCAGTCCCTTGTTAAGTGTGTGGCCATGCTTCAGATTTCTCTCTGGAGATGTCTTGCTTGGCTGCTGGGGTAACTTGGCCCTCTGGCCAAAACGAGTCCTTTTCTTCTGGGGTAAATAAATTCTAAACAAAAGTAAAAAAGTACTTTTACCTTCAGTAGGCCACAGTCCTGTGTAGGAGGTGTGTGACACACAAGTCCTTCTCCTTGGTTGAATAGGACTTCTTCTCCCCTTATACCAGGGCCCAAGCTATCCTTGGCGTCTAGGTCTTTCCTGTTGGTAAGCAGGGTTTTCCTAGTTGCCATTAGTTGGCAAGGGTTTTCTAAAGTCTTTCAGCCCTTGCTCAAGAGGGAATTAACTTGGGCCTCTGCCCCTTATCTGAGGGCTCACAAATTCATTGCCCCTTGGTCACAGGAGTTCCTACACCACCTCCAACTCTGGGCTCTAGCCCTGGGACCCTGTACCAGCCATCCATTCTCAACTCACAGTTCCTCGGCTTCAGATTCCTAATGCCATTTCCTATATTCACTTCTCTCCAGGGAAGCCTTCTCTCTGGCCTCTTCCAGCAGTCATCAGCCAAGCTACTTCCAGACAACATTCCTGGCTCCCTCTCAATGAGGAGCCACCCCCGGTTTCTCTCCAGACTCTTCACTGCTCTTTCCCCACCCTCACCCTAGACTGCCTCAGGGGGCTTCAACAGAGCCCATCACAGGCACCTGCCCCAGCTCTCTCAACAGGGAGCCACATCTGCCCCAGCCAGCTTTTGCTGTCCTTAGTTAATCCCTCCCCTAGTGAGTGCAGGAAGTGTCATATCCTGCTTCCAAGCCTGGTTAGCTCTGTAGCCTGCAATCACCTGACCTGGGAGGAAAATGAAGCAGTGTGGGAGCTCAGATTGGAGTTCCTCTGCTCACCCTGTGACACAGGAGGAGCAGCAGCAGTATAATACAAACTGGCTCCACTCAGAGTTTGGGTACTAATGAGAATCACCCCTTCAGAACAAAATGTACCTTCTCCCTGCCTCAAAAACAACTAAAGGTGCTGGATTCACACATTCAGCTTCTTTAGTTTCTTGTACAATCTCTTCACATCATTCAGATCTACTCATCCTTCATCTGATGAGGTGACTGCCTAACACACACAGAATGTTAATTCCACTGGTAACTCTTATTTCACCATCTATTCAATATATGAATTGATGGCCTTGTGTTATGAACGAGTGTCTAAATGTTCTAAATCAAGCATTGATCTTTTTTCATTTGGTACTTCTGTAACTTAAAAAAAAAATGTTGCAAGAGCCAATGTCATTGGTGTCACCAAAGTTGATTGAGTTGGGCCTAATTATGCCAGTGGTGAATTTGTCCCTCTCTGCATATTGCATGTTTTTTGTTTCCCACAAAACAGGCTTTCTTCATTATGTTGCATATTCTCTCACATGATCAGTAAGGGGCTGTTGAATGTTGATACTCTATTTCCTCAGGTGGGACTGCATGTGTGCTAACTGGCCAGCCCTTTGATACAGCTAAGGTGAAGATGCAGACATTTCCCAGCATGTATAAAGGACTCATTGAATGTATTGTGAAGACATATAAACAAGTTGGATTGCGAGGCTTCTATAAAGGGACCACTCCAGCACTTGTAGCCAACATAGCAGAAAACTCAGTCCTGTTCATGTGCTATGGGTTTTGCCAGCAGATTGTGAAGGGAGTTGTTGGATTAGACAGGAAAGCAAAACTGAGGTTAGTAACAGAAATTGTAATCTCCAGAATATTGTACAACTAGCAGTCAAGAGTAAATACAAATGTGCTGTATTTTAAAATGAAGTGCAGTCTCTTTGCCATTATACGGGGTATCATTTTGTCACTGTGCAAGTGATAACTTTATTACACAAGACCTTGTCTCAGCAATTGTGGTATATTTTTCGTAAGAACAGATGGCTGGTCTGTATGGGGTAGTGTCCATTGCCAAAAAACCCAGATTGTGGGAAAGGTGTTGGTTCTTTCAAATGTTTTGGGAGGGAGAAGAGAATTCCATAAGCATCTTTCTTAAATCCCATGCTGTAGTATTTGTGAAGGAAAGGGGCTGAAACTACTGGAGCATTGGCGGCTGTAACTCATGCATCACTAAGAGAGGCTGCATTTTCATCGTCCGTGCACTGCTCCATGGATGGATATCAATGATGGTTCGGGTGGTTTGTGAGATGACTTAGCACTGTCCCAACTATCCTTCCCTCCAGAGCAATGATTATGCTGAATAGCATTCACTTATTCGCTGTAACTCAGTGTTCCGGCTTCACTAATTTGCCATCAAAAAGAGGCGGGGGGAGCTCTTGGTTGTGATTCTGAAAACTGTCTCCCCTTTAATACTTACAAGTTATTGAAAGTAAAACATGAAAAATCAGTGTGTGGGTAAATGGTACCTTTCTTTCCTGTCAGGTTTTAGGAAATGAACCCAGACACTTGTGGATCAAACTTTGGTTTAAGGATATGAGAACATGCTTAGCTTCAGGCAGTTAAAGACAAATTTTATTAGCTGCATTCCATCTGTATATACTTACAATTACCAGAATGAGAAGGTGAAGGAAACTTACTTCTTTTTAGCCCCTACTGATGTAGTGTGTTTAAATATTCTAGTCTTGCCCCATATCTCATCTCCTCTGAACACCAGGTCAGTTTTCTCTTGGTGATAGTCGGCATCAGTTTAGTATATAACTAGTCAGATTGGATTTTGAAATCACTAAAGAGAACACACTAACTATGAAGAAATTATGGGTTAATTGGAGAATAGATGAATATGTAATATCTGATGGGACAGGTGACTAGAACACATAATGATACCAAAGCCAAGTGCCTCCAATCAGCTTTTATTCCCTGGGGTGTTGTACTAAATACAGAATGGTACTATTAACTTTACTGGTTGTGGCTGTTTTTACCCCTAAAAAAAAAAAAAAAAAAAAGTGAGATTTTAGTACTGAGCAGTACAGTGATAACAAAAACTTGTACAGGTTCAAACTCTCACCAGCCAGACATCTCCTTGAATTTTGCTCTTTTTTTACATTTATAAGATGCCCCTATTACTATTATCTAGTTGCATTTACAGCCCAATCATAATACATTGTTAAAGACCACGTTAACTAATGTAATCCAAATAACGCACACCTCTGCCTTGACAAACAAACTCCATTAGACAGCCCCTTGGAAAAAGCCTGGTTAAACAGAGGCCTTGCAGCATGCCCTGCAGATCAGCAAATTTTCTGTTGGATCAATGTGAAGGGATTGAATTCCAGACTTGAGGGCCATCAACCAAGTTTACTCTGTCCCCAGACGTACAATTCAAGAGGCTGTCCGCTTTAGTGTTCCAGCAGTCATAATCATCTCATTCTCTCTTGGACTGAAGAGGGAAACATGAAGAGTAACGAACTGAGGTTAACTTGTGCTTTCTTACCCTCTGATCAGGTTTATATACCCTCCTACACAGGTATTTTGTGGTCTGAGTTTCCCAAAATAAACTTCTATGCTTCTAATTAAAGTTAATTTTTAAAAGTAGTTTTTACACACAGATGCACTTTAATTTACATGAAGTGATGGGGCTTATCTAGCCTGTGTGGCTAGATTAGCACTGTTTAGCTTTGAGACATGGTTATAGTGTGGATATCACAGCAGCAAGAGGAAAAATGTGTTTTCCAGTTGAAAGTACATGTGCTAAAGAGGTCTGTTTGGAGTTTGTTAGGAATGGAAGGGGATAAGGATTTTTAGTCTTAAGTATTCCTATGTCCCCATCAGCATAGTACGTAGGTGTCAAATTCCCTCAGTGATAAATGTTTGCTAAATTATGATCCTAAAATATATATTTGATTTAAACTAAAGAATGATTAACTGCAGACTGAAAGTTAGACACACGTGCTCCCAATTTCAGCTGTTTGCTACCCTAACTTACAACTTACAGAAAATAGACTCACTCTTCCTCCAAGTGTGCCTTGTGTTTGCACATGTATGTAAATACAATGTATTTGTTTCTTGAACTTTCCTAATATACTGTGTACAATACCTGAAACATTAATTGAAAGGTCCTGTACACTGGGTTCATTGCCTCTGATTCCTGTGTATGTAGCTAGTAAAATATACTAAGGAGGACTTCTCTGCATTAGGTATTTTTGCCTCAATATAGCTAGAGCTGTGCTAGCCCTCGTTATTGACAGTGATATAATGCATAACTTTGCATTATTTCAGACTTGTAGCATCTCCCTTTTGAAGATCTCAGATCACTTTCCAAACACTAATGCGTTAAGCTTTGCAACATCTGTGTGAGGTAGGCATTGTCCCTGTTCTGAGATAACAAAACTGAGATGAAGTTACTAGTCCCTTGCTGCAGGAAGTTTGTGGCAGAGCCAACACTAGAAAGATCTACTGATTCCCACTCTTCTGCTATGACCATTAAATCACCTTTGCCTTGCAAGAGACATAAAAACCCTAATGTGGTATCTTTTCAAGGGTGAAGTTACACAAGAGTCAGAAAACTGAGTTATGGTTTCCATAGTAAAAGCCACACTGGATATGTAAAGAAAGTCAATCATGCAAAAATTAGGAATTGCTAAACTTAAGTTGCCTGTGCAGACTTAATTTGGGTCCTGTGAACCATAAAGCAGAGGTACAGTCTTTAATTACATACTTCCCAGCCCCCTAGGATGCCTGCCTTATTCAGTGCACAGGAAGCATGATGCTCACAGAATGAGCAGCTATTCATTATTTTGTTTTATCCTCACTGTTCAATGTATGCCCCCCTGCCTTATTTATTGCATCTACTCAAACTCTGTTCTGAAGACAGAAGGTTCTCACGGACATTTCTATTGTCCTCTCCCCAAAATGTTATCAAAGCACTCACATTTTGTGGAAAAATTGGAAAGAGTCCAGCGGAGGGCAACAAAAATGATTAGGGGTCTGGAGCGCATGACTTATGAGGCGAGGCTGAGGGAACTGGGATTGTTTAGTCTCCAGAAGAGAAGAATGAGGGGGGATTTGATAGCTGCTTTCAACTACCTGAGGGGGGGTTCCAAAGAGGATGGAGCTCGGCTGTTCTCAGTGGTGGCAGATGACAGAACAAGGAGCAATGGTCTCAAGTTGCAGTGGGGGAGGTCTAGGTTGGATATTAGGAAAAACTTTTTCACTAGGAGGGTGGTGAAGCACTGGAATGCGTTACCTAGGGAGGTGTTGGAGTCTCCTTCTTTGGAGGTTTTTAAGGCCCGGCTTGACAAAGCCCTGGCTGGGATGATTTAGTTGGGAATTGGTCCTGCTTTGAGCAGGGGGTTGGACTAGATGACCTCCTGAGGTCCCTTCCAACCCTGATATTCTATGATTCTATGACATACTATTTAATTAATCTTCACAACACCCCTGTGTGGCAAGAGGGGGGTAGTATCCTCATGTCACTGGTGGGGAGCTGAGGCACAGAGGTATGATCAAATGTATCATCTAGTTTTGGGTGCCCAATTTGAATCACCTAGGATGTGATTTTTTTTCAAAGTATCTAGCATTATAATATTCAGAGCTCAGCTCCTCTTGACCTCTGTTGCAGCTTAGAGTGCTCAACACTTCTAGAAATCAGACCCCAGGGTCTTGGGTCAGACCCAGAAAATGAGGAGAACACAACTAGTGACCACTTAAGTGTCTTGCCCAGCATCACACATACAAACTCCGTGACAAAGCCAAGGATAGAAGCCAGTTCTCCAGAGTCATATTGAACTGCCTTAACCATGAGACCATCCATTCTCTTCTTGCAATGTCCTGGCTCATTAACCACACACCTTCCTACTTCTGCAACAAATGAAGTAGGGGTCCTACATCAAATAGCCTCCGTCACTTGACAGCCCGGAGTCATCTCCAAAAGAGGGTGATCCTGTGCATTGAATGAGGCAGGAAACCTCTGGGGAAAAAATAGCATGTAATTAAAGACTCTCATAATACAGAGGTACAAAGGAAGCTAAAATTTAAAATTCCCTGATAAAATTGGAAGCCTTTCATTCTATAGGCTGACTGTGGTATCCAAATCAAGATACTAGGGGTTAAGTCACTGTACTCCAAAGCCAGAAAAATCTCTCATTGAAGTGAATTTAAACAGAAAACAGAGTTTTGGCTCAACTTTTGCAGTGAACTTGCTTCCTTAAATAATTCTCAATTCTGCCATATACTCCCAGCTTAACAATAAATGAAATGATAAATACTACTTAAATACACTTGAATCTAGCATTGTTGGTTTTAAAGACATGTTTGTAGCATGTTAAAAATGCTCAGTACTAGCCCTAAGGCACTTCTGCTCTTTTCATAGATTCAGAAAAAACTGCATCAGTGCATATTTAGAAAACAGAAAAATTCTGCTTAGGCAGCACTCTGACACTTACTACATAATTTAAGATACACTAGATAAGAGCAACATTAATATAGTCAAATTATACTCTCTCTTCCACTTTCCTAGGATCAAATGTTTTTCCATTCCTGGTCAGAGTACAAAGTAACCAATGCTCCGGTTGTGTTCAGTCAACAGGCTCATGGAGTGTCTAATAAAAGCCATAGATGAGCTAAATTATGAAAACACTGGCTTTCACAGTGCTTAAATGTATTTGTGAAGATCCCAAATATAATGAACAGAGGTCCCAGCCTTTTAAATAGCTTCAAAATTACAATTTTTCATCATGAGACAGATGGATTTGGTGTCAGGGAAAACATGGAACTTTCAGATTTCTAAAGAATGTGTGAGGATTTTGCTATTTTTAAAGATCAAAATAAAATCCTTGCAGTAATGCACAGAAAACAAGAGGTCGTAAACCCCTACTCCAGCACCTTCATGCCAGGTAAAAGGACCAGAGCGGCATAAAAGGGCCCCAGATCCAACAGTTGTAATGACAGGAGGATTTCTCCCAGTGCAGGGATTGTGGAAGACAGTTGTAAGATTGCCTTCAGAGGACCCCATCGCAAGCCCTTGTGTGGGAGCATGTTGCGGACAAGAGAGTCTGTGGAGGCTGCTGTAATTTACAGGCCGCTGGGAATCTGGGATTGTGTTACTCCAGGGGATTCTCCAGCTCTGGGAGCATCCCAAGATTGGGGGGGACACAAAGGTGGCTGAAAGCCATCCCAAGTCTATCCCCCATGCCCACACCCTGTCTGTGAGTTCTGTACTGCACCCCATTAGAGGCTCAGCGGAGCAGCTCAGCCATGGTCTTTACATTGTACCCAATTTCTCTGCCATGTCATACAAACTCTGGAAGGAGGGAAGAGTGCCTTAGATCATCCTGCTCATTTTGCTCCACCACAGAACTCCCACTTGCCGACACCAAAGTCTGAGGCTCTGTAGTGACATAATTTTAAACAAAAAAAAAAACAGTTACTCACCTTTCCGTGACTACTGTTCTTTGAGCTGTGTTGCACATGTCCATTCCACTGCATGTGCTACAATTGTTAGAGCAGGAGATGTTCTCTGAGCGCATGATCCTTTGTTGATCACAAGGACATTTTGGTGCCAGTTATCTTTATAAAGGCACTGGCAAAAAAACTGGTAAAGAAGCTGTGGCCTTGTGATACCATGGGTTAGTGAAATCATATAGTCTTGAATGTGAAATTACTAAAATTCACTTCAGGTTTTATTTGATTCATCTAATTGGTTGTGCTTTTTTGTCAGAGAAATGGGAAAGATTATAGTATACTTACATTTATATAGCTGTTGAAGGAGAAGAACTTATTTGAGTTGTATATGAAGATGGCTGGAGCTAGGTGTTAAGTTGGTCACCTCTTTTAAATGATTGCTTTTCCTTTTTTGCACTCCTGTTCAGTTTTTCTTTATTTGATAAAGCTTTCAGGAAATAGATGGGTGCTCTTGCAGTAGGCTACCATGTGACTGAAGAGCAGTGCCCAAGTATCATCTGTAGTTTCTTTGTTACAGTGATCTTCAGAATGCAGCTGCAGGCTCTTTTGCTTCTGCATTTGCTGCCTTGGTCCTATGTCCCACAGAGCTGGTGAAGTGTCGGTTGCAGACCATGCATGAAATGCAATTATCTGGAAAGATAATACAAGGACACAAGTAAGTATGTAACTTGCTCAATACCACTGAAATCTGTTGATGTTATGCCGATTTTAAAAGTCCATCCTAGCACACGTAAGGTCTAGCTCAGGGGTTGGCAACCTATGGCACACGTGCCATTAAAAATCCTGCCCAGCCCGGCCCGCTCTTCTCCGCCCTCCGCACGCCCCCCTCCCCCCTCTCCCCCCCGCGGGGGCAGGGGACAAGGGGCAGGGGGCAGAAGCTTGGTCCTGCCGGCTCCCCTGCCTCTTCCTGTAGTGTGCTGGGTTCCTGCCTCTCCGTCCCTCCGTCCCTGCCGGCTGATCAGCTGATGGCCCTTGCGAGGGAGGGGGTTGGGAAGGAGCAGAGTCAGCGTGCTCGCTGCTCCCGGCAGAGGCAGAGAAGAAGCGGGGGCAGGACCTTGGGGAAGGGGGGGTGGAATAGGGGCACATCCCCTCCAGCCCCCTGCCCTGAACCCCCCCACACACACACCCAACCCTCTGCCCTGAGCCCCGCACACCCCCCAGGCCTGTGCCCTGAACCCTATGCCCCGCACACACCCCAGGACCCTGTCCTGAGCCCTGTACCCCCCTCATACACACCCAGCCCTCTGCTTGTCTCCTTCATCCCCCCCCCCCACGACCCCAGCCCTGACTCTGGCACTCCTACACATGCCCAGCCCCCCCACATCCTGACTCTTGCACCTTCCCACATCCCCTCCCCAGCACCAAACGGGAGCTCCTGCC